TATATTAATAGAATCAAATTTAAATAACAACAAAATATTATATCAGAAAATTCTAATATATTTGCTACTCAGTTCTCTAAATTAAAACAAACAAATATAGTTTACTATAATATATATACAGAAAATGAATATCTTATTAAACAGCGAGTATATTGAGTATTTCTTATTGAGCAAGACTATATAAAAAGAGAAATTGCTAAAATAGAAAAAGAAAAAATAATTCATAAATCAACAAATCCTTGGAGCTCTCTAGTAGTACTCATCAAAAAGAAAAATGAGAAGCTAAGATTTTGTGTAGACTATGGAAAATTAAATTTTATAATCAAGAATACTTATCCTCTACCTCATATCAATAAAATATTGAACAATCTTGGTAAAGCAAAATAGTTTACTTCTCTTAATCTAACCTCAAAATATTGGCAAGTTGAAGTAAAAGAAGAAAATAAAGAAAAGACTGCTTTTATAATAAAGTTTAGGCTATACAAATTAAATTATATCTTTTGGACTTTGTAATATATCCTCTACTTTTCAAAGATTAATGAATATTGTATTAGAATCTGCTTTTTGAAAGTATACTATCCCTTAATCTGTATTCCAGGCAAATTTGCCTGGAAAATTTAAAACATTTAGTAAATCTCTGCATAGCACTAAATCGTACTAATTAAAAGCCCCCTAATGCATGATTTTCCATAATCGGAAGAACCTGCACAATCATTTGATAATAAATTTTCCAGGCAAATTTGCCTGGAATACAACACAAAACGATTTAAAAAGTTAACGAATGCCTGTGATCGACTGATTAACAGATTAAAATCAACATTGTAGTGCCCGCATGTATTACTCTTTTAAAGACTGATAAATGCGCAATAATTAAGAACCTAAATTAGCACTATCGCAGTACCTTTAGTACGTACGTACATATATACATACATACATATGTACTTTATTGTTCCTATTATCAAAAAATCATATATACTGCATTGTACATACGGGTACTATTTGGACCATAACTATTCTTTTGGTTCTTCATCGCATGTGAAGTGATACGTAAATGTTTGGGTGCATTTAAAGCTACTCTAAATTAAAAAATGCTGAATAATCGTCTTGTAGAATATAAATAAACTGAAGCAAGCGATTGTGAGATTGTCATATGTGCCTTGAGGAAGTTGACGAACTACCATTTTGCTCGTATATGCTATTTTTTTTCGCTGTTCTTTGTTTTTTATTATATGATAAGACATCGGTTAGGACAAAGTACAGTAATCTCGTATTTATCGCTTAATGTCTCACGTACAAACACACAAACCTGACCACCTGACAACCTGACAATTTGTCTTATTAGCAACCTACGTTAATTACGTTTTTTTATCATTCTAAAAAAATAAAAAATTCGTTTACTATATGCTTTTTTGTTAAAAAAAGTTTCGCGACGACACCATTCCCATTCTTTTTTTTTATTTTATTGAAGAAAAAAGAAATTCGTTAAATCACTTTGGCAATACTTTTTTTTGCTATCAAAAAAAAAAAAAATAAATAAATAAATAAAATAAATAAATAAACCTTCAATCATGTCTCTTGACAATACAACTTCTAATGAAGATTCTGACTTGCAATATTTAGTTACTTTCGAATGTGACTACCACGGCGAATTGGTAATCGATCGCGAACTAGTAAGAGCTACTGATAATACAATAAATGAAGAAGAACAAGAATATATAGAAGAATCGGACGAAGCTACAAATATAGGAGTGAGCACTAGGAGAAGTAGAGGAAGAGTTAGGGTAGAGGAAGAGGAAGGGGTAGAGGAAGAGGAAGGAATGAAGAACAAAGTAACCATTTAAATTTAGAATTATCGTCATTAGAATCACCCACTTTTAATCCTATTCAAAATATCCATCCAATTCATAAAGGATATACTACACTTCCCCATAAACTTCAACTAGGCATCGTATCACCACTTTCGCTCTTTCGATTATTTTTTACCGATGAGCAGTTGCAGTTAATGGTCGAGAACACTAATACATACGAGCAAGTAAAAGGTAGAGAAGGTGGTCGGGTTTGGAATCCGTTAACTTTAAATGAACTGAAGATTTGGCTTGGGCTGATCATTTACATGGGAGTTCATCATATTAACGCATTGGATGATTTGTGGAATCGAGACGATAAAAGGGCGAACCACGAAATTAAAAGGTTTATGTCTCTTTATAGGTTCCAACAAATTAAAAGATTCTTCCATATTTCTGCACCAGGTCAACTTCATACACAATGGTACTCGAAGGTCAAACCGTTCGCATCGCATATTCAAAGTACAGTTAAAAAATATTATGTCTCTAGTTCACAAGTATCTATTGATGAAATGATCGTACGTTTTTCCGGGCGAAGTATACATACAGTAAGGGTAAAAAACAAACCTACCCCAGAGGGGTATAAGATTATTTCTCTATGTGATTATGGTTATACATGGGCATTTGTGTTTACTTCGCAAGTTAAAAAAACTGACTTGATAGAATCTATCCCTGGGCTTAATAATATTAGATGCTTGGTCGCATATTTGGCCAATATGCTCCCCAATAATAAAATGTATCACATATATATGGATAATTATTTTTTGAGTATCCCGCTTTTTAAATATTTACGAGAAAAGGGTATTGGTGCCTGTGGCACCGTTCGTACAAATTCATCCAGGTTTCCTAAAGAATTAAAAATTGGCAAAGAAATGGCATTAGATTGGAATACACTTTTGGGAAAAGTAATTAATAACGTTTTGGCTATTTTTTGGATGGATAATGGCCCTGTAACAATGCTAA